AGTATATATCATTTCAATTGATTTATTGTCCCTTAAAATTAATTTTATATATTGAGTTCTCTCTATAGAAAGTCTTTCCATAAAATATAAAAGTTGTGATACTATAGAAGGTTTTAGAATACTTCCCATTTTAGTTCATGGACATTAACTTGATATCCTATGTTTCTAAGTTTTTGAATATAATGATATCCTTTTCATCATTAAATATTATTAAACTATTGGAGTATGTCTCTCATAAAGGCATTATCTCTTTTTTTTTTTTGAAAGGTCTCAAAAAGTTTTTATCCGTAGAAAAGGTCATACTATAAATGATATTCCCAATGAATTGTTGCTTGATAGAGGCGTATATCAATATGAAAGACTTCAAGCTGATCTTCTAACTTTAAAATATCCCAAAGAGGTCTTCTTACTTTAAAATACCTTTTATGAGTGGTAACCTTCTATCTAGAGAAGGCTTCAAAGCATCGTAGGTTAACGAGTTTATTTCAAATACTTCCTCCTTTAGAAGATTTTGATGTGTTTTTTTTCTACTCTTTTTAAAGAAGACCCTAAACATGATTTATTTATCCGCACATTAGATATTCTATACATAGAAAATCTCAAAAAATATCAGTGGATAATAATAAAAACTACATAGAATCCTTTCAAACGACCCTAAATATTTCATGTCCATAAAAATGTTTAGTGACTTCATTATAAAGACCCCATAAGGACTTCTATCTGGGGATGATTTCAAAAGGTTACAAAATATAATTATCTTCTGTCTGAACTCTTTCTAGTAGCACTTGAAATATTGAAATAAATAATTCTCTTAGACACCCATAATATCATTTTATCAATGAAGGAGTACTTTAAAAGGTTTTGGTTTTGTAGCACCACAAAACACCATATCAATACAAAAACTCAAAGGGTTCTCACCCTAAAAAATATATTAAATTTATTTATATTTGAAAACCTCAAAAGAACTCCCATCTACGAAGGGCCTTAAAGGATCTTGAAATAATAAAATAAATTGTTCTCTGGGAAAATAAATTATAATAATTTCCTATCAATTTATGAACTGTAAATATCCTCAATTTGAACGCTTCCTTGAGACACCTATAATATCATGTTATCTATAGAGAAGTACCTCTGAGGGTTTTGGTTTTATATTACCACAAGACACCGTATCAATAGAAGAGCTTAAAAGGGCTCAGAGGCAAAAAATGATATTAAATTTGCTAATAATTTAAAACCTCAAAAGAACTTCCATCTACGAAGGGCCTAAAAGGATCTTGAAATAATAAAATAAATTGCTCTCTGGGAAAATAAATTATAATAATTTCCTGGTATTATCCTCAATTTGAACGCTTCTCTGAGACACCAATATTATCATGTTATTATTATCATGTTATCAATAGAGGAGTACATCCGAAGGTTTTGGTTTTGTAGTACCAGTAAACACCGTATCAATAGAAGAGCTCAAAAGGGTTCTGAGCCTAACAAATATATTAATTATATTAAATGCTTATATTTTATAACCTAAAAAGAACTTCCATCTACGAAGGACCTAAAATGGTCTTGGAATAATAAAATAAATTGTGTTCTGAGAAAATAAATTATTATAATTTTCTATTAATATATATCCTGCAAAACGTGGTCTTCTGCATAGAAAAAATCTCAAATGTTCATATGTGACGTCATGGTTGGTAGCTTGGTTTTATTGAATACAGAAGGCCTTCTTTAAGTATTTCCTGGATAAAAGCATAATTTGTTGTCTGATAAATTCATGCAAGAGATAAAAAATATTTCTATGAAACCTTTTGAAAATTCTATTAAACCAAGAGAATATATTGTATTTTATAAGCTCTCCTTAAGTTCATCTATGCATGGAAGGAGATTATTTAAGAACTTTCTGAATAAAAACATATTCAGCTTCATGATGAGCTGAATATGTTTTTATTCAGAAAGTTCTTAAATAAATTCCTTCTATTCCTACAAATCTGTAAGAAATTTTTGGGTTTTCATTTTCTTTCTTCTATCGTGAACAAAAATTTTTTTCTGAAGTCATCCATTCATGAGCGGACCCAATCCGCTAAAAAAATATTTTGCTTCCTTTCGGATATCCATGATTACGCTGTTTATGAGGTCTTCCACAAACAGAAACCCTTTTGGAGTCTTAACTGTCGATATTTAGTTTATAGCCGTTGCTAGTCTCCTATAAATAAATATATAAAAAATTACCAAAAAACATTCAAGAAATTAAGGACTTCTCTGCATAGAAATGTATTTAAAGGTTTTGAATAATTTGATAAATGAAGGATTTCCCATGACTTTGAGAAGTCCAGTTTGAGGTGTAATATAAATTGAAGCCATTTTAAGGGACATTACTAAATAAAATATATTTTAAGACCTTAATTAAACGGATTACTTTGTGAGCAGGTCTCTGAAGAGGAGGTGAATTGAGGACCTTACTGAGTATATTTATTCCTTTATGTCGTAATAAGTAGTGTATACACATAAAAATTAACTTTATTTTCCAGATGAATTCAATACGGGGTTTTATAGCAATTTAACGGGTCGTCTGTATATGGGCAAACGAAACGTAATTGAACTTTTACGAATAAATGAATTTCTAAAATGAAAACTAGTTATAGTAGTATGGGAGTAAATTTCAAATAAAACTACGAAATGGAATAATGTTCACGTTAACTACATATGTCGGGACAACTTATACTAATCAAAAATTTCATGTGAAACCCTTAAAACACGATAGATGTGAAACTTTTCAATATAAAATATTGAAAGGAATAAGATTTGGTTCTTCTATAAAATCTTTTGAATTTCAAACGAATTATTTCGATTCAATATTAACTACTTCAGATTACATGTAAAAACGTGGTATATGGACTTAGATAATTAAAAAAGACTTAAAAAACTCTTGGCTAATATCTACGAGGAGCATAGTGGTTATCAAAATAAAAAAAAAAACATTGCGTAAAACAAAAATCTCTTTGTTTCACAAAACTATGTATACATATATATATATATATATATATAATGAATTGACTTGTGATTTGTTAATGATAAATGGCGAATTTTTTGACTGAGGATGTGTGTTGTTTGAATGGTATGTTGTGTTTGTAAATGTTTGTCTTTCTGTGTGTGAGTGTTGTATGTGTGTAATTTGGTTGTTTGTTTGTTTTTTTGATGTTTTAGACTAAAACGCCATAATACTTGCTTTACTTAGTTCCAGCATCTTAGCTACATTCTATTCTAGAAATATTCTAGAGCTCAATTTATTATAAAATATAATAAAATTTGCTTTATGCATTAGATAAGAAATGATTTTATTTGCAGTTTTCTTGCTGCTGCTGATGTTTATTTGCTGTTTATACATCATCATCGTTGTTGTTGTTGGGTGCTTAACTTCTTCTTCCTCTTCTTTTCCTATGTTATCTTCTCTTTTAGTTGTTATTGAGATTTCTTGTTGCTGTTGTTTTTTGACTTCTATATTTGCAAATTGGCTGAGCTGAGACCATTGAAGAAGTTCTTCTCTTGGCTGACAATTGAATTTGAACAACAACATATTTTGATAATAATCGAGAAGATTGGTATTTTGAGCAACAATAACAAATTTATTGTTATAATTATGTTTAATATATTGCAAAAATTCTATGGCCTTAGATATGAATATGAATTGGAAAACAATGGCCAAATTTTGGAATTTCGAATTCTTTAAAGAAGAAGTAGCTTGAGAAAGATTTACTGAAGTTTCAGTTGATGATGATGCCAATGACAACCCAATCATCTTGGATGCAATGGGCGGTGTTGTTTCGTGTATTTTGTCATTGCTGTTGTTATTACTATTATTATTTTGGTAATAATTAAATTTATCTTTGTCATTATATGCAACAACTACAAAAGCCATTTGGGCTAATTTTTCGAATACAACTACAAAGAAATTTGATAATTCTTGTTGGGGTTTTTGTTGTAATACATTCTGCTTATTAACCTGAAATATTGCTAATAATATTTCAATAAATTGATGTTGTTGTTCTTGTTGTGGTTGCTGTTGTTGTTGTAATAATAATAAAGTTATTATCATAAGTACTAATTGAATTTGTAATAATAATAATAAGATTATGAATAGTATTAATAATAATAAATATTGTTTTTGTTCTTGATGTTGTTGATTTTCATTTTCAAATTGTTGTTGTTGTTGTGTTAAATATATTTTTGCTAATATAATCAAATAAAAGATTATAACAATCATCATCAGCATTATAGAGAGTTGTTGCTGCTGCTGATTTTCACCCGGCAACGAGGACATGTGATTTTGTTGTTGTTCTACTAATTCTATGACTCCTTCTTCTTCGTTTTCATCATCATCCTGACTTTGGAAAACAACTTGGTTAATTATTTGTTTGAAATTTTCAATTTTATGCAGTCATTCCGGAAGCGCAAATTCATCTTGTTCTTGGGGTTTCTTTAACCAATTGCCCAGATCTTCACGACGAAAGGCGGCAAACAATTCACGTTTGGCAATCTGTAGAAAACAAAAATAAAACAAAAAACATTTTAAAATTTTTTTAATAACACCAGTTCCCCATAAATCCGCATTCTCACCTGATAATCTTTAACTTTGGCCTTTGTCTGTCCATAATCTGTGGTCAATTTACGTTCCGGTAGTCCGGGTAGATTTTTCACCAAACTTCCATATTTATTAAAGAACATCTGTTTGGTTATACGTGATATTTGATTGTTGACCGTTTTGCCAGTTAGAGAATTCACCACCTCCACTTCAGTATCACCAATTGTCCAGTTGATACCGAAATTTGGTGCCTTTGCCTGATTACGTGGCTCCGATGATGTCAGCTGTGCCAATCGTGGTTTATTCAAATGATACGGTGGTGGAAGACCTTGTATAGATTTTTCAATACGACCACATACGGCACGATACATATGTTCGGGATGTAATAGACTGCCCAAAACGATGGAATGCAAATAAATCGGTTCAATAATCGATGACAGCAAGGAGCCCTGTATACCGACAATATTCCAACGGGCAATTTTATCGGAACATGACATGGTTAGAAGACGATGACCCTGTAAAAAGTAAAGATAATTGTTATTACAAATGAAAATAGTAGCGTTGTGGGAATTAAGGAGCAATATTAATAAAACTGAAAATAATTCCCCTTGAGTTGAAGGATAGAACTAAAAGCCGATTCCCAAATCCTAAGATTAAATACTTATTTTTTAAAGAAATGATTTTCAAGGGGGATAATTCTTTAAGGATAGACAAAGCGAATAGAAAAACTACACAACAACAAAAAATGAATATTAACATGTATTTTTCGGTATTCATTTAATTGGAAATTCTAACCAACATATTATATTGGCTCATTAGCATGGATTTTTAAGAATTTAAGAAGATGTTTAATTATAAGCCCCATAACGAATACCTTATTCTTAACAGTTAATGGGGGTATAATTTTTTTATATTTTAAAATATCATTTTTATTCGATTTCTGACTTATTATCGTTAATTTGGAAGATATCAGGGAATTGTTGACCCATTGGTATATAAACATTCCAGCAAAGACTGGAGTAGACTTATATAATAACAAAAAGTGACAGGCTGAGCCATATGCCTTTACTTTTTAAACATATTTTATTAAAACTATTTTTCAAAGACATGCTGAACTGAAATGAAAATATTTTTCACGAAGAGTACAGGTTTGTTCATGATTTCTTTTCAGAATTGTAATTTTTTTTTTTTTGATATCCTGATCTATAAACGTGGATTTCTTTAAGAATTATTTTTTCCAGGAGGGTCTTGAATGCTGTAAGATTTATTTTTCAAGGAGAATCTGAAGCATAGGTATGTTTCAGAATAAATTTTCAAGAAGAATCTGAAACGTCCAATTTTTGAGGTATTATTTTAAAAAAGGTCTTCTGAAGCGGAAATTTGTTAATAATTGTTTTTCAACGGGGAGTCTAAAGTGTTGATTATTTTTCATTGCATTCTCCGGAAGCAAGCATTTTTTACAAATTACTTTTCAAAGAGAATCTGAACTATGGATTTTTTCAAGGAGAGTCTGAACCGAAGGTTTGTTTTTTTCTAATATTTTTTATTTAATTTTGTTTTAATTCTTCGAAATTCTTTGAATTATTTTACGAAGAAGAATTTGAAGATTGGGAGAATTATTTTTCAAGGCGGATAACAGGCGTATTTCTTTATGTACTGCTTTTCAAGGGGAATTTGAAGTGTGGATTTTGTAACAATTATTTTTGAATAATAATCTGGGAAGCGAAGTTTTAAAACTATTTTCAAGATTATTAAAAGGATAGAGGTTTATTTTTTCCCAAGAATAATCTGAACTATAGACAAGATTTTTTTCAGGAACGACTAAACAAAAAATAGTTTTCTTAATAATTGTTTTTCGAAGAGAGTCTGAAGAGTTTATTTCTTCTACAAATTGGTTTTCAAGAAGAATCTGAAGACCGGATTTTTTAAGGATTATTTTTTTCCTGAATAATGTGAAGAGTTGCAGAATTATCTGAGGTGCTATTTTTCAAGGATAACTCGAGTTAATTTTTTCAAAGATGGGATTTAATTTTTCCAAGAAGAGGCTGAACTGAGCGGTTAATTATTTTCTAAGAATGAAAAACATTCTGCTAGGTTTTCTTGAGATTCTCTATGGGTATAATACCTCTTCGGCTTTTCTATAGATAGGAAATAGTTTTTGAGCTCCTCTGTGGAAAGAAAACGTCCATAATTTTTTGATGAATACAAGGCATCTTTAACTCTCCTCTTAATAGGATACTTATTCAGCTGTTCTATTTATCTGTTTAGATGGACCCATTAACAAATTTTGTGAACAAAATACATGTTGTATAGATAGGGAATATCCTGAGATCTACTATAGAATAACAACATCTTCCTTTTTTTACGAATAGAACCCCTGAGGCTCTTCTACAGATATAAGACGTTTTGAGATCTTCTATGATAAGAAGGACTTTACGTTTTTATATAAATAGAATTTATATTAAACTCTAGAATATTATAGAATATCCTCCAGAATAAAATGTCATTTGAGTTTTTCCTAACATATAAAACTCTTGAGTCCTTATATATACAAAAAACTTTTCCTTTAAAGGCAGGAAAATACAGATAGAAGATATATATGCAGAGTTTCATATATAGATAAGATAGATTCTGGACAAAACTTGCTACAAGCATAATGTTGACTTAATGGAACCGTAAAAAATAAGGCGATTTTTAAAAGTTAATGACTCATCATTGAGTCGCAAAAATCAGGTGCGAGGCTTGTTCAAAAAGTATGACGAATCTTGTATTTTTTATGAAATCAGTTTTTTGCGATCATGTTCCGCTGCTCCTTTGAGACAAAATTTGTATCATCTCAATCGTGGCGAAACGTTTTGGCCTAATGGTATTTTAAAGTTTTTGAAACAAATAACAATTGAGCGATTTTGGTACGGAAATTGAATATGAACATTATCAGCAACAATTCTTCGCTAAAGCGGCTGTTTCCAACGACATTGAAATTCGAAATTAGTCCATGTTTTAAAATGTTAGCATTAGCAACATTTAAAATTGGCGACTTTGTCGGGCATTATAACTTATTGCGGTATAATGGATCTTTGGTCCCCAATTCATGGTTATAAATCCATAAATCGTGAACAGTTACAGCCCTTCGGAACAGATCTGCCTCCTTGCAGGCTGAATCCCATATATTCAGAGCAGTGTCAATGAGATGCTAGTCGTACATTGACAAAAAATTAACCCCAGTAGATTATTAGGAGCAAGATAATATGTACAATCGAATAAACGTATCCCACTGAAATCCGACATACTTTTTGGAAAAGCCTCGCATGAGAAAAAACCAAACTACAAATAGAAACCATTATTAAAATTGAAATATTCTTTTTTAATTAAAATACAAAAAACTTACCTCCAAAACGCCATCCCAGGTCTGTATGCCATCACTGCTCTTAACGGGTATGGTACCTTCACCCGACTCAATCTTTGTACGCAATTGACCACGTGCTTTTCTGTACAGGTGTGGTGAGATTGATTTTTTTGATTTGAGATTTGTTATTCGAGACATTTGTTCGTGTGGGGTTTTCAGAGGGGGTGTGGAACAACACGATTGATTTCGAATCACAAGTTTAGTTTAGTGTTTTTTCATATATTTCGAAATCGAATCGGGAAAGGAAAATTTTATTGTTGTTGTTGGTTGTGGTGGTGTGTTAGAAAACAAAAATAGACATTTTTACAGCAACATAAGTTTTTTTGTTTATTGTCATCGATTAAAATAAATTGTTTTTTTTTTTTTTTTGTTTTAGAAAAAAATTCCACAATGTTTCAGACGTAGACATAAGTAGAGAGATATATAGAGATTTGATTTGAGAAAAAAATTAATTAAAAGAGAGCGCCGACACAAAAAAGAGAGCATTTGTTAGAAAAAAAAAAAATAGAGACAACAATAAGAAAAAATTATTATTAATATTATTAATTTGAAAAAAATAGTATTATGGATTTTGGAATAAGAAGAGTTTTTATTTTTCAAAAAAACAATAACAAAATACATTACGTTAAAAGAAAAGAAGTAGAAAGAAGAAGAAAAAAAGAAGAGGTAAAAAGAAAAAAAAAAAACAAAAAAGTAGATACGTTAAAATTTAGGAAATTTTTAAGATTTTGAAGAAACTGAAGTGGTTTTTTAACTGATTTTTTATTTCAAGTGGTTGGTTAATCAAATTAAAAAAAGAAACGAAAAAACAACAAAAGAGCAAGAAGAAGAAGATAACAGAAGGTAAATCTAAAAATAAAACTTGTTGGAAATTTCCGAATGAAAAGTATTTAAAAGTGGTAAAATGGAAGAAACAACATTTTGTGAGACACTGATACAATGGCCACTACTAACCTCCCATATGGTCTAGTGGCTAGGATATCTGGCTTTCACCCAGAAGGCCCGGGTTCGATTCCCGGTATGGGAAAGTTTTTTTTCTTTTTTGCGAGCGCGTGTTGGGTATTTCAATGACGTAGAATTTTTTTCTGAGGCCTACTTTCATCCTGAAAGCCAGATTTCGAAGAAGACTGTGCCCGTTCGTTTTGGTTTTGTGTGTGTGTTTTCACCCAGAAGGCCCGTATTCAATTCCCATTATAAAGTGGGAAGAATTTCGCGCGTTGGTCTTTTTGTTCGATATGCCATTTTTAAATACTTTTTTCTTCAGAAATTTCACAAATTCTTCAAAAGAGTTCTTTTTTTGTTTTTGTTTTGTTCTTTGGGTTCCAAAAAAATCTTTACTCTACTTGGTCTACAAAAGAAATATTTTGTAAATTTTTTTGTTTTGGTCAACATTTTTTTTTTGTTTTTGCATTTCAAGAAAATTTACTTTAAAAGATTTTCAAAAATGAAAAAGTATATATAAAAAATAGTATATATATAGAGTTTTTTATATATATGTAAAGGTATATATAAGAAAAAAATTAGTTGTAAAGATATTTTTACCTATTTGGGTGTTTATCAACACTCGAGTCATTTTCGTGGGGACTAAAAATGCGAGCATCCCCACAAGGCGCTGTATTTATGTACAGATGAAAATGTACACCGGTTTTCAATTTGTACGGGTATTGCGCATTTTCTTGGTTCCTCACGAAAATTGACTGATTTGCTGTTGCTATAAAAATAAATAAAATAAATTTTTGTTTTTATTATTAATTAAATTCGTTTGTATGTATTGTTTTTTTAATTATTAAATTATTAATATGAAGAAAACAAATAATTATTTTTTTTTTTTGAAAATAGGTTGTAATGAAAATTTAAAAAATATTAGAAAAGTAAAAAAAGAAAAACTGAGAAAAGATGTGGAAACTGTGATAGGTGGTGATGATGGTTAAATAAGGGTCAAGTATTGATAACAAAACTTAATAGGTGATTAAAAAAATATTTAAAAATTAAAAATATTGTGGTGTGGTAAATCGAGTTTTTGGCTTTCGCATTTGGGCTAAGTGAAAAAATGATGTGTGTGTGTGAAAATATTTTCAGGCTTAGGCATTTAAAAAAATAATGATTGGATTTAAAATAAAATCATTTTGTGGTAGTTCATCAAACGAAATAAAATATCTTCTAAAAATAATAAAAATTAATTCGAAAAAATAATATATTTTTTTACTCTAGGGCGACGTCGTGTGTGTTTGAGCGCAAAATATTTGTATTTGTATTATCATCCAAAAAAACTTACGAGATGAGAGAGAAATTCAAAACAAACTTCAATATCTAAAGAAAATTATTTTATAGTTTTTTTTGTATTGGTTTTCGCTTAAAAATTCTATAATTTTTTTTTTCCAAAAGAAACAACAAATCATATATTTATTATAATGCATCATGAGATAGAGATGTATGTAATTGAGTTTTTATATATATCCAAAAGTCTTAGATTTGAGACCCGTTGAGTGGGGATTTTAGTCTATATTTTATTTTATATTTTTGAATTTGTATATTTGTAAAAAATGTAATGTTAGATATTTACATGTTTTTAAGAAAAAATGTAAGCGATAACATCTAACATTCAAACATGCATAATATATACATATATAAGGATATTATAATGAACATTTTTGAAATATACAAAATATGTATTATATTATTTAGACTAGACTCCGTCGTTGAGAGATTTAAGTTTACACCATTCCGAAATTAATCTAGTGTTTTAAACGTGTTTTTTTAATAATCTTGGATAGGAATGATAATGAGCAAAGAGATCCCGGCCTATCCCAGTAGACACTTTTTTTTTGCAAAATTGTACTCAAAATGTAAATTTCCTTCAATGGGTATACACCGATTCTAGCAACCGTCAAACTTCATAACAATCTTCAATTTCGGCATTTTCTGACAAATACCCGCCTACAAAACACTGTTTTTAATATACCAGATTGTGGTTCCTTATACTATGGTCCTTAAGCGAATCGGAATTAAAATATTTGATCTTTCGATTTTCGACTTTTACTGAAAGCAAAGTGCTTAAAATCGAATTTCAATATTTATCGACTAACGCAAAGGTCAGATACACTGGTGACCAAAACTAAAGCAACTGAAATTGCAATTTTTGCTTGGACAGAACTAAAGCAACTCTACTGTACAAGCAGGTGAGCTCTGAAAACATATCGTACAGTCGTATCTGGATATTGTGATGTAATTTTTATAAGACCTATTCACAATACCCATTGAAATAATTCGCGAATACGCACAGAAACTGATTTTAGAATTGATTTTCGCGGATTTTATATCGCAGGTACCCAACACAACTACTACCCTAAGTTTCTGCGGATTCCGAAACATGGCAATACTTCGCGATATTTGCACTCTCTTGGCCGCGTAGAAATAAAAATCGCTTTCCCCATGGAAAATTTTTGATGTTCAGCTTGTAAATGTCGCGCCCAGAGCGATTAGATGTCCAGCCAAAAATAAAGTTTTCGGTCCATTTTATTCCCGAAATATCCAAGATCTTAACCAGAACATCATGCCAAATTCCTAAGCTATCAGCTCGAAATGTGTGCTCTCTAATGTGATAATGTTAGAATACGTAGACACCTGCAAATATGTTCGCATAACTCCCACATTTAACCATATACTCCAATATAATAGGTATTAATTTACAGGTCAACCACTCCTGTTGGAGTGGGTGTCAATGTCCTTCAGAAGTAAAATTATAATCCATGGATTAAAAATTCCTAAGTTTTATAAAAAAGTCTCGGTCTATTAGACCCGCTAATTTTTGAACGATCTTCATCAAAATAGTCTGCTAAATTCCTTTCTCTGTAAAATTTCGTGATGTTCGCGTCGTAATTGTGGCTCCTAGAGTGACCAGAAAAACAGACAAAAATAAAGTGTTTGATCCATTTTATAGCCTCAATATTAATCAATTATTGCCAAAAACAATAAACAAAAATTCGTGACGATTAGTCCATAACTGTGTCCTTACAAATCAACTAGTCGAGATATGACGACTCAGCAAGTCGACATACGACGATCGGTATGCTACTGTCCTATAATCCCTCCTGTCAATCATGTAAGAGGTGAATGTGTTGGAAAATCTTAGATATATCATAAAAATTGGAATCGTGAGCAGCTTATTCTCTGCATTAAGCTCCTATGGCATTCCCATATTTAAATGATGCAGTACAAAGGAATAATTTAGAAAAATATTGACCTTACGTGAATAAATTATTGATATCATAACTAGGTTTTTATGGTCCTGGTCATCTAAAATTCAATTTTTAAAGAAAGGAACGGAAAAGTCAAACCAACTGTTTCGTAAATTTCTTTATTTTGTTATTTATTAGAAATCGACAAAAATTCTAGTTAATTAGTAGTAGTCTGAAATCTCGGCGGTGCCAAAATATAATCTGGGAAACAATTCGGAACGCAGTCTTCATTTTTTCTCTCTTAGTGATTCTTTTTCTGAAGTCAGAGTGATTCTGAATACGAGCACTAAATTTTATATTTTCCAATTTCCCTACTCAACATTACTATTAAACATTATTCGCTTTATATCCCATATGGTCTAGTGGCTAGGATATCTGGCTTTCACCCAGAAGGCCCGGGTTCGATTCCCGGTATGGGAAATAGTTTTTTAATATTTAATTTTTTATTTATTTTTGTATTAAAATATAAATATTTTATATATTATATTAATTTGTTTTTTATTTAATAATTTTTTTCAGTTTATATTATTTTTGTTGTTGGATTATTTCGGCTTTAACCTAAATAAAATTCCTAAATCATAGTCATCTTCAGAGAAATAGATTTCAATTTTAACAGTTTTTCAGATTTAGTTTTTGTAAATTTTATATTTTGTAGATTTAAATTTGTCTACTATGAAAAATGAGTTCACTATTTCCATTTTACGGTTTCCGATTAAATAAAAATATTGAACACATAAAACCGATCCGATTAAGACATATCGATCACTTGAGAAAAATCGTCATACATTTAATAATCTGTACATTACATAACATATATCCCATATGGTCTAGTGGCTAGGATATCTGGCTTTCACCCAGAAGGCCCGGGTTCGATTCCCGGTATGGGAAGATTTTTTTTTATTTTGAACTTAACAAAAATATGTTCTATACATAAATCACAGATAATACAACAATAAATTATTAAGCATTAATAAACAACATGAATAGCACGACGATAACACGTACAACACACATTAATAAAAAACAACAACAACAAACATTCTATAAATAGAATACTAGAGAATATAATTGATCACACAATGTGCTGGTATTTCTACCAGCCAATAGTTTAATATGTTATCTTCGTATTTTTAGTTGGCGCACATCGTCACTGTGATGAGATCATCAAAACAGGTTTATTTTTTGACTAAACATAAATCGTATCGAAGAATTTTAAAAATAGTTGTGTAATGTGTAAATGTACGACTGTACATATCCCATATGGTCTAGTGGCTAGGATATCTGGCTTTCACCCAGAAGGCCCGGGTTCGATTCCCGGTATGGGAAAGATTTTTTAGTTTATGATATTTGTTGTATTCAAAATTAAGAATAATATTTGATTAATATTCAGAGCACGTGTTTGATTAAAAAAGAACGGAAATATGCCCTTAAATTTATATTAAGAAACTATTTGGTATATCGATATTGTTAAATACAGATTGAAGTGAAATCAAATAAAAATGGAAATGAAATTTAATGATTTAATCAAAACTGGAATATGTTCCGTATCTTTTTATAAGATACTATATTATTTAGTTTTAATATTTTTTTTTTTTTTTGTAAATGATATATTAATATCTGTTGTTATACATAAACATGTATATTAAATACAAAAAATGTACTGCATTTATACAAGCAAATCAATCGTATTTAAACATCACATGCCGTTAATTAATTTAATAATAAATAGTAATTTATTTACTTTAAATTATTTAAAATAATAATTTTTTTACACACCGAAATTTACACACAATGTGACAACAAGTCAGGATGGCCGAGCGGTCTAAGGCGCCAGACTCAAGTGTTAAAACTTGTTCTGTTCCAACAGAATTCGTACGATGAGCGTTCTGGTCCTCTCTGAGGGCGTGGGTTCAAATCCCACTCCTGACAAAATACTTTTTAGTTTTATTTATTATCAGAACTTTAGAAGCTAAAATTATGTCTAGTATATAAGACTTTGTGAGTATTTAGAATTTATATTGAATTTTTTTTTTAATATTTATTAATACTATTGGTATTGAAAATTGTGACTTTATAAATACTTTAATAAAAATCCCCACACGATCGTCATGTCAGGATGGCCGAGCGGTCTAAGGCGCCAGACTCAAGTGTTAAAACTTGTTCTGTTCAAACAGAATTCGTACGATGAGCGTTCTGGTCCTCTCTGAGGGCGTGGGTTCAAATCCCACTCCTGACAAAATACTTTTTGAAAAACTTTCAACAAGAGATATTTTTCTTTAAAAATCTAATATATCTCATCTATAATCCTCAGAAAACCTCAACTGGCATTTTTTTTAAATAACTATATGATAGTGAAGTTTCTTATGGGGGCATTTTTAAATGATCGCGAATCCAAATTAATTGTATGCCAACTAGGTCGCACAAAATCTCCAGTAAACCCCATGTCAGGATGGCCGAGCGGTCTAAGGCGCCAGACTCAAGTGTGAAAACTTGTTCTGTTCCAACAGAATTCGTAAGATGAGCGTTCTGGTCCTCTCTGAGGGCGTGGGTTCAAATCCCACTCCTGACAAACTATTTTTATGCTTGCATAATTGTTGTTTAATAAATATATTGGCTCTAATATAATGTGAGTTTGCCTTTTTGATTTGAGGATAATGGGTCTAGAAAAATTATGCATTTCGATAAATAAAACAAATGCTGTACATTTCTGACTTCGACCTTAAATTAAAAATAAGTGTGTGTATTTCTAACTTCGAACTTGTTAATATTTCCTTGATAGAAAAAGGATATTTCAATTTAATTCGAATGCGATTTTATCTGCACAATTTTTGCAGATCCTTTGAATATTTACTATCATCAATATTTAATGGATATTGTTGGCGAAGAAACATGAACCTATATTGAACTATATAACGTTTTCAGGCGGATATCGAATTTCAATCTGAGGTAATATTGAATATGAGGTCTCTGACCAGCACTTCGGGAACTATAACGTTGTAATATAGGTCTATTATCATGTCAGGATGGCCGAGCGGTCTAAGGCGCCAGACTCAAGTGTGAAAACTTGTTCTGTTCCAACAGAATTCGTACGATGAGCGTTCTGGTCCTCTCTGAGGGCGTGGGTTCAAATCCCACTCCTGACAAAATACTTTTTTTTCGTGGGATATTATTTGATTTAAATACTTATGTATACAAAACGGAAACTTTCCTAATAATTTTGGATGAGGTTCAATAGAACCGATAGCTAAAAGAAGTAACTGTGGATCACTGGAACTCTGTCGATCATTGTTGTTATACAACACTCAGACGGTTCCTAATGTAAAATGGAATAAGTAAGATGTATTTTTTTTTAATTAGATAAAATTTAATGGAACGGAGGACTTGTCCTGGTCTCTAGAATTATGTGAATTATAACCGAAATTCAAATACATGCCCTGCATTCTTTCTAATATCAGGCAGTACATTGTGCGGCGACAGATATCATGTCAGGATGGCCGAGCGGTCTAAGGCGCCAGACTCAAGTGTTAAAACTTGTTCTGTTCAAACAGAATTTGTACGATGAGCGTTCTGGTCCTCTCTGAGGGCGTGGGTTCAAATCCCACTCCTGACAAAATACTTTTTGAAGGGAATTATTAAATAATGGAATATTTACAGAAAATGGATAGGATCTGGTCAAACCTATATATTATTATTTGTTTATCATACCTAGTTATTATTTTATATGTGTCCAATTTATTTATAAAATAAACTGTTGGTTAGGTCTGATACCTGTATGAAATATTTATACATGTAGATCTTTCACACTCAAAATCTTTCCAGAAGGACTCAATGCCACAATTGGAATGTAAGGGGTTTCTAAAACACAACTACAACCATTTAGCAAAATTTCAATGCACACAACATCAAGTAATTTAAATTAAAAAAAATTAAAAAAAAAAAAACTAAAAACACCAAGAATTTCAAGCAAACATAAAATATCAAAGGAAGATTTTCAAGTTTAACACGATGATACATTTTTTAGTGGAGAAAATAGTGATGAATGGTGTTGTTGGGGGAAACAAATAGCGGACGGTTTTTCTCGAAAATGGAAAAAAAGAAATCAAAACCGAAAAACAAACATAAATATATATATGAGCAACATTGAAAAAATAATACAGACATGCAGACCCAACAAAAAACATCGATTTTTGATTCATGTTGTTTTTTCTTTACTTATAAAAAGAAATATATGATTGAGAAACAAAAATGAAAGAAAAAAGATCGAAATGTAATGGATTTGAACAAACTTACCCGGATTAAAATGCAGCTCCAATTGTGCATACAAATATTTCATAAAACAACGTCGTGAAACAATTTCAGCATGTGAATCGTTAAGAACGGAGCCATTAATGCTCATATGTTCACCGCTGACACATTTGGTGCCAGTCGAAACTGAAATGACCTGCAAGGAAGAAAAGAAAACATGAAAAAATGTAAAAAATTGTAATGTGGAAGATATATGTTAATATTTAAATGGTGTAGATTATACAGGAAGATGTTAAATGATATATGATGGTTCATGTTCGTTTTAGGAATTCTGAAAAATATCTACACTTAGAGAAAAATTAATCCTAATATTTTAAATGTTTTATAAAAAATATTCATTGATAAATAATTGAAATCATTAGTAAAGATCGAGTCAATATTATGCCCGGTATTCATGTTAATATCAGGCAGTACATTATGTGACGACCTATATCATGTCAGGATGGCCGAGCGGTCTAAGGCGCCAGACTCAAGTGTGAAAACTTGTTCTGTTCAAACAGAATTTGTACGATGAGCGTTCTGGTCCTCTCTGAGGGCGTGGGTTCAAATCCCACTCCTGACAAAATACTTTTTATTAACATATTTTATTTAAATATATTAAAAATTCATTATAAAAAATATATTATATAAATATAAAATAAAAGAAAAAACAAATATAATATAAAAAATAAATATAATTTAAAAAACAAATATAATATAAAAAAACAAATATAATGTAAAGAAATGCGTTATTAAAGAATATAATATAAAAATTATTATATATCAGTAATGCCAAAATATAGTCATTTCGGTTGGATAATGCACTTAAGATAATAAAAACGCATTAAAAAAAGGTGCTGCAGTTTTATATGGGGACTATACTCAATCGGCCGAAATCGATTATTTGTATAAGGAATATGAGAACACAAAGTATCAAACTAGAGCCAACGTAGTTGAACAATATTTCCGAAATGGTCAACATAATGAAAATGAGGGGCATCATTATATACAAAAATGTGGACCGATATTGATAATTTTGGTAGGGAGATTTGACACCTATTTAGAATCCAAATTTTCAAATTGGCCAATTTTTCTGAAATGCAACATAATGTACCGTTTTATGCATGCTAACCGAAACATGGGCCAATATTGATACATTTTGTTTAGGATATTGAAAAAATTTTGGTAGGAAGATTTGCTATCCAACGAGGACCCAAAATGCTAAAATGCAGTCAATTTAAATTTGCAAAACCAATCCCAAATATCGAATACTGGGGATAGAGAATTAATTTTTATTTTAAAAAGGACAATTTGCCAATAAAGGGGACCACAAATTAAATTACAGCCAATTTGATTGAAAATCGTTAAAAAATCCCTAAATTACTGAATATTGGGGAGGTATTGTTCTATGGGGATTACCCGAAAGCATAGACAAATATTTATAATTTTTAGTAAGGAGATAGATTTGTCTATCCCATGATAATCAATCCGACAAGAACTGTGTCATAACAAAATGTGCCATAACAAGTGAAAAAGCGTTAAGTTTGGCAAAGCCGAACTTTGGATACCCTTCACCATAGATATACTGACAGGAACTTGAAATGAAAATATAGGGAAAATGCCAAAAAGTGGACCTATACTGACAATTCTACAAACCGATTATGTAAACTATAATGTAAAACATAAATCAAATTTCAGAAATGTTTAAGGGATAATTATACCCTCAGCCTTATGGCTAAGGGGTGTATACACTTTGACACGGTGAAAATGTGTCTCATCGAAATATTTCAGAAAATTTTGATTTCATCCGAACATTGCCCATTTTATTATTTCTTCCAAACGTAGTTCAAGTTCGAAGATTGAGAATATCGATCCACTTTTTCTGGTACCTCCCACACAGGGTCTAGGCCTAAATGAGGGTTATAGTTCTTTATCGAACCTTACGTTCTAGTTTTTTATCTCGATATCCTCCGCAGGTGAAATGATTACAACAGAGTCTTAGAACCAAAGCCAAAACGCAGAACAAATCAGATAACTATTTTAATATAAAATAGGGGGTTATATGGGGACTACCCAAAAAAAGGGGGTGGATATTAATAATTTTTGGTTTGGAGATTTGTTACCATATATGGCTACAAAATACCAAATTGCAGCGAATTGGGTTGAAAACCTCGCTCAAGAACCCCCTTATATGGGGGCTATTCGAAAAAATGGATCTATATTCATAATTTTTCGTGGAGAGATTTGGTACCTATTAAGAACTCAAAATACTAAATTACAGCCAATTCAGTGGAAAAATACGACCAAACCCCCAAAATACTGAAAATTCGGAGGTACCGTTATATGGGGGGAATATTTATAATTTTAAGTGGAGACATTTATTACCTAATAAGAATCCAATGTACCAAATTTCAGCGAATTCGGTTGAAAAACGCGCTAAAGAATCCCAAAATACCGAAAATTGGGGGGTACCCTTATATGGGAGCTATGCCTAACGTGGGCTGATATATCCCATCTTCGAACTTGACCTGCCTGCAGACAAAAGACAACCCAATGCAAAATTTCAGCACCCTATCTCAATTCCTTCAGAAGATAGCGTCATTACAACAGACGGACGGACAGACATAACTAAATCGTCTTAGAATTTTACCCTGAATATTTCGAAGAGTTACAAATGACAAAATTAATATACCCTCCATACTATGGTGGAGGGTATAAAAATGCAACATTGACCTTGAAAACACCATAATTAAAGGGGACAAAACATTAACCTATATTGAACGTTTTTTTGCGAGAACGCAGGGGAAGCTTCTTTGCCATTGCGACCAGGAATACCTTCAAAAATACCTAATTAGGGACGGAACATTTATATGGGCGCTATGTTAAATCTCTTTTTGAATATGAGATGACTTTTTGCTGATTAGGATCTTGAAATTCATTAAAATAATCCGCAATTCCATCGATATTTATTGACTGATGAGGTTGATAAGGAAAACATTACCGGACTGTCTACTATCTATTGAACTATCTATTGGAGATCTGGTAACAATTGACCGAATTCTTCCTACAATAAATTCACACAATCCAGTCCTTGAGGGACATTTATAAACGACCCTTATTATGAAATATATATCCAATCATTTCTCTCAAATTGACATTTTTCTTTGAATACCATGATAACACCTCTTAGTGGAAAACTCTATACCATATGTCTCATGAGGGATGTTATACAAAATGATTTGTTACATTCATTATAATTCAACATTTTTCTTTCAGTGTATTCTTGGCTTCTTCCTGACCTTACAAAAATATAAATCAACCACAGAGCTAGCTGGAGGTTTTTCAATACTATTTTTAATACAGGAATTTTTATGTAAATTGGTGTTACCACTATTTAACACAAAAAAAAAAAAAAAAAAAAACAAGTAGAGGAAATGAAAACCAAAAACAAAAAATGTGAAATGGAACAGGTTATGGTAAAAGTGAAAAAAAGAAATGCCATAAATCTTAACAGGAAACGGATATGCGGACAAAAAATATACAAATGGCAATATGAAAAAATTAGCATGTTAATGGTAAGAGAGTTCCTTTACACACACATATGGCTATCTATGTGGGTAAGTGAGAATGTGTGTGTGTTGTGGCCATTTTTATAAAACCACATGACCATGACATTTTAATTATTCCCTCTATACTTTTTTACATGTGTAACAAAAGGACTTAACATTGTTCATTGTTCAAAGTTAGGGTGGGGGAAGGGAAAAGTGGACTCTCTAAAGCACAATAAATCCTATCATTGTTAACAATTTCCGTTGATAATTAACTCTAATAAATGACACTGATGATGATGACAGCGGTGATTGTGATGATGTCCATGATGACAAAAACTGAAAGTTTGTTGTATTGTGTGTTGTTGTTGTCCCTCCACTTACTTGAGCTTCATTAAAATTCATATTTTCCGTCATGACAATGCCAGCCAAAACTTTACGCCGTGAATACGACTCTTGTCCTTTGATAACTTCCATAAACTTTTCCAAAACTAAGCGGCCAATGGTGTCAGCATGTATTTGTGGCAATTCCATGGACGATGATTTATCGTCCAATGGTAGCGGGAGATTCTTTTGGGGATGCATCATGGGACTATAGGAAATGTTACACAGTGATGCTAAGGCTGCCTTGGCTGCAGCATTTTTGGCTAATTTCTTTGAGGGTCCTGTTGCGGGGGGAGAGAAACAGAAAAAATAGATTAACTTATGAAATGAAATATAGCAGACGATTTTTCTTTCACTTACCAGTTCCATCAAATTTACTATTATTAACTGTTACCGTCATTTTGAAACGGCAATTATTTTGAGCCCCGTCAACAGTTGAGCAATCGAAATGGACATCGGTGAACAGCTCATAGAGCAGCATAACGGGTCCCTTGTCGGGCACCTTCTTTTGGCCATCGACACTTAATGGACTCTTATTGGAATCTATGGCAAAGGAAGGAGGTGCGACAAAATAAGAAAATCAAACAAAAGATCAGTTTCTGAAATTCCGTAATCAAATGTATTCAACATTTATAGAAAAGTTTTTGAAAAGATTGAAATCACTTTATTTTTGACATGTAGAAGGAGCATTTAAAAGTTTTTTGTTTTTGGAATTATGTATGTATGTGGCATATGCATGGTGGGTATTCTATATATAAATAGACACAAATGTATACTGTTTGCAAAAAATAAATAAAAAAACAACAACAAAACATAAGCATAAAATAAAATTGAACAACTCAAAAATTCAACACACAATAATAATGTACGCATAAACAATACGAGTGTGTAGTTATATCTGTTACCTTTGTTATCCGATGTTCTCTAGAAAAGTTTATGAGGGGAAAGAATTAACCATAAACTAATTTTCGGGATGGGGTTTGAAAAATTACCAAAAAAATATTTTAAACCAAAAAATGCATAAATAAATTAATATAATTTATATAGGCAGAGGAGCCACTATAGACCTATATATTTTTTTATAGATAAACGATGTCTAATTTATAGAAATATAAAGCATTATAAAGAAATTTAGAGTTGGGTCCGGCGAAACGAACCAGTTCAAAGAAACTATTCCACAAAAGGAAGATCGGTACTAGGCCTTGTTTTTTTCTTTCATCTAGTTCCTTTTGCTCCTGTATTTCAATAAATAGTTAAGCCTTTCCGAAACGAATTAGTTAAGAAACAAAAGGAACGATCGTTACTAGGTCGTTAACCGTTCATCCAACAATAGGAAGGATCAGTACTAAATGTGATTCTTTCGTTTACCAGTTCCTTTTGCTCCTGTAGCTCCGAAAAAAAATCTTTCATAGGACGTTTTTCTTTCTGGTGTTAGGTCCTTCCAGAACGAACCAATTTGAAGGAACTATTCAACTAAAGAAACGATAGGCTATTCAACAAAAGGAACGATAGGCACAAGGTCTGTTTCTTTCGTTCATACAGTTAGATTCACATCCACTCGCTTTCAAACAAATATATTTCACAGGACGTCAACTTTCCTCATCCATTTCCTTTTGCTCCCGTATCTATATATCTTTCACAGAACATCTAATTTCTAGAAATATAAAACCTTCTACAGGATTCTAGAATTAGGTCCTTTCGAAATGAACTAGTACAATGAAACTACTCAACAAAAGGAACGATAGGTTCTAGTTCTGATTGCTTCCTTCATCCAGTTCGTTTTGCTCATGTAGTTCGGAATCAAATAATTCACAGGACGTCTAATTTCTTGAAATTTAAAACCTTGTACAGAATTCTACAGTTAGGTCCTTTCGAAATGAATCAGTTCAAAGGAGCTATTCAATGTATGGTACGATCGGTACTAGGATCCTTCTATACATATATATTTTTTGCCTTCTGCTGCGAGTGGTATTTTTCCCTCAGTTAACCCGGAAGCCATATTAAATTACAAAATGCGGAACTATATTTTCAGAGAGGAAATATTTTACCCTCTGAGAACCCGAAATATTAAATTCGAGAGGTCTTTTGGTATTTGGTACCCCAAAAGCCATACACAATTTTAAAATTTAGACCTATATTTCACTCTGAAAAATCGATATACTTAATATCAGTCACTTAGGTTGGAATATGCCGATAGGAATCTAGGTTGGAATATGCCGATAGGAACCGGACCTAAATTTTCAAATAGAAAATCTTTTACACTCGAAGAACCCGAAATACCAAATGTCTTTGACCCTTCGCCTAAATTTTAACTACTGATTGTTTAAAGAATCGGTTGAAAATAAATCCGATTAAAATTTCCAAGCGAAAAGTAGAGCGCGTTGATTTTTTTTCAATATGATAATCATTAGAAGTTCTGTCATATTTGAACCGAATCAAAACAACGACAGAAAGGTTGTTCTTTCCTTTTAAGAAAGATCGTGCCTACAGAAGATCTTATAGTTCATGAGATATACACTTATCATATCTAAAAACGCTCTAGAAGGTCGAATATATATTGCAAAGACTCAACATACGCCCTCTACGTACTCAGAAATGGGCTACCTTTATTTAATGAATATAAATATGATGAGCGAGGAAGTTCACAAACGCCAAAACCCATACATACGTTACATATATCGATTTTAAGGTATACATACTATGAAGCTATATTCTCTTCTTGATGGAATATTTTCTAGAGGTCCTTGCTAAGCTATTCTATCATCTCAATGTGAGGTATTTTTCATATAGATAACAATATAAAGCTTTTCAATCTACAGATTAAACACTATATCCAAACTGTACACAGGGTTTTAATAGGACTGGATTTTTATCAAAATGATCAGTATTTTCAATTGCGAGATTTTTTATACATATATCCCATATGGTCTAGTGGCTAGGATATCTGGCTTTCACACATATTTGTTTCTATGGGAAGGCCTATGTTGGATTTCCGGTATGGGCAGATTTCTCCAATATATGGTAAAAATTAAGACTCGAATTTATACACAAAACTTTCCTGTCGTATTTCGAATATATATTGCAAAGACTCAACATACGCCCTCTACGTACTCAGAAATGGGCTACCTTTATTTAATGAATATAAATATGATGAGCGAGGAAGTTCACAAACGCCAAAACCCATACATACGTTACATATATAGATTTAAAGGTATACATACTATGAAGCTATATTCTCTTCTTGATGGAATATTTTCTAGAGGTCCTTGCTAAGCTATTCTATCATCTCAATGTGAGGTATTTTTCATATAGATAACAATATAAAGCTTTTCAATCTACAGATTAAACACTATATCCAAACTGTACACAGGGTTTTAATAGGACTGGATTTTTATCAAAATGATCAGTATTTTCAATTGCGAGATTTTTTATACATATATCCCATATGGTCTAGTGGCTAGGATATCTGGCTTTCACACATATTTGTTTCTATGGGAAGGCCTATGTTGGATTTCCGGTATGGGCAGATTTCTCCAATATATGGTAAAAATTAAGACTCGAATTTATACACAAAACTTTCCTGTCGTATTTCTGCTTCGTAATAAGTATATTATATGTAGTATAAAAAATCTTCCCATACCGGGAATCGAACCCGGGCCTTCTGGGTGAAAGCCAGATATCCTAGCCACTAGACCATATGGGATACATAAACATAGGATGTTCGTAAGAGGGCCAGTTTTGGCGCGATAGATATCCAAAATGAACATAACATAAATCTTTTCTAAGGATTTTGAAATAAAAGGAAGTTTTCATATGATACCCTGGCCCTAGTATAAATTTTACTTAGATTCCGACATAAGATTCTGATAAACAGAACAAATGGTGCAATTTACATTCTACTTGTATTTGGACCCTTAATAAAAATCTTCAGAGATTCATAATAGAATGCATAGAAATAACTTATAACCTCCTTCTTGTATATAATATTCTTTTATCGAAACAAAATATTTAATTTTATTGTAGAATCTATGCACATAAAGTCAACATAAATTTGAAATTTTATTATTATTTCGGAAATATATTTTGGAAACTACTTTGCTTCGATTCGGAGTAGAGATTAATATTTTATTAAAATAAAATATTGATGTTATTCCATGATCACTTTTCGTTTTATATCCCATATGGTCTAGTGGCTAGGATATCTGGCTTTCACCCAGAAGGCCCGGGTTCGATTCCCGGTATGGGAAGATTTTTTTAAATATATTTTAGAATATTTTATATGAATATAATATCGATTCATATTATCTTTGAAATAGTATTATCAAAATATGACTTTAACGTACTGAACGGAATAAGAATTTCAATATGTTAAAATATTGAAAATGATAATCATATCTCTTGAAGTGAGGAAATTGACACTGAAGATCCACGATTTCCTCGTGATTACTCACAATTTGCTTAGATTTTGTTTAGATTTTATTCAGAAAAATCTGTCCTTTGAGGTTGAATGTGACTTGAATAAACGATCTTTCGATCTAAAGGCTAGCATCTAAGCGAAATGCTATAGAAGTTAATGCTGGTTTCTATAAAATTTGTTTAATTGAACATTAATTTTTCTAGTGTAATGTGGATGCTAAATTCGATACGCAAAGCACACAGTGTTACGTAACATAGCATATCCCATATGGTCTAGTGGCTAGGATATCTGGCTTTCACCCAGAAGGCCCGGGTTCGATTCCCGGTATGGGAAATTTGTTTTTGTATTTTTTTTCTAGTTGGGATTAAAAAAATCTCTATACTTGAAGGTGAAAAAATTATTTGTTTTTAAAGATTTAATGAGGGAATATCAGAGAAATACCTGAGACATTTGCGTATTGACTATGAGAAAAATCAGAGAATATTTTGAGTGAAAATTCGTGAATTGGTCGATAGAAAATCGGATATTAATGATCTTCGCCCTAACAGCATAACCTCAAAAATATGACAATGGATTGAAAATCATAATATATTTAAATTCAACTGATCATATATGTATAAGTGGAATGCTGTGTGGGTTTTAAATTATCGAAGAATCGAAAATACGAAAGGATATTCGGTTGAACATCATATATTACAATCTACAGAATTTTTACCGCGATTATTGTATGTGTTATGTAATGCATAGTGGACCCAGATATAATCAAGTATCTTTTATATATCCCATATGGTCTAGTGGCTAGGATATCTGGCTTTCACCCAGAAGGCCCGGGTTCGATTCCCGGTATGGGAAGTTTTTTTTTTTTTTTTGCTAGAAATCTGAGTTGATCCTTTGTTGCATACCATAATTATTGACTTTTCTATTAGATATAATAACTTAGGGGCCACGAATGGTATAGTAATTATTTAACGATATCGACCGTTTACAAGTTATTTTCCATTTCAGGTAGAATTCAAATATCACAAATACGGATTGTTATTGGGAATCGTTTTTATTTCAGGTAAAACACAATTTCCGAATAAAAAACTATCTAAAGTTTAAATCGATTGAATTTATATCAAAGGAAATGAAAATATGCCAAACTATGTAAGTGATTTTTGTATAAAATTTATTCAGTTCCGCAATGGAAATAATCTATATTTTGAAAGAGTTTGAATCGAGGAAAAATTTACAGAAAAATACTTCGTAATCTCAATAAGAGTTTGAATTTCAATTAAAAATTCTTTTACTCGGCGTTTAAACTGTTGAGAAGAAGTTTATGTTATTTTTATATCCCATATGGTCTAGTGGCTAGGATATCTGGCTTTCACCCAGAAGGCCCGGGTTCGATTCCCGGTATGGGAAGATTTTTTTTGCACAATAAATTTTTATTATTCTTCTTTAACCTACTAAATTTTTAATTTTATAAAATGCACCTAGAAAATAATACTATAAGGTATGTAAACCATTTTTTATAAAATACTTTAGTTAATTAAAATTTCCCATATGGTCTAGCGGCAAGAATATGCTACGACTTATGTAGAGATTATATATTACAAATAATGTAAATTTGTCATCAAATTAATCATTATGATATTCCGTATTGTCTAGTGATTAGGATATCTGACTTTCAGGCAGAAGATCTGGATCAGTGATGTATCCCGTATGTTCTAGTGGCGAAGATATCTGTCTTTCTCGTAGAAGGCTCAGTTTAGAACCTTTTGATTTAATGTATATCCCATATGGTCTAGTGGCTAGGATATCTGGCTTTCACCCAGAAGGCCCGGGTTCGATTCCCGGTATGGGAAGATTTTTTTGGTTCATTTGCAATATATATTTAGTTAAAAATTAATTGCATGTAGAAAAATATCTTCCCATACCGGGAATCGAACCCGGGCCTTCTGGGTGAAAGCCAGATATCCTAGCCACTAGACCATATGGGATATATAAAATTCAATATTTTGAATACAAAGATTTTTGAACTCAAAATATTTGCAACTTATTAAAATTTCAGATCACTTTTGTATTCTTTGGAATTTTTGTTAGAAAATAAAAATTAGTAACGGTTTAGAAAAAATGAAAATATTTGAATTTTGAATATTACAACCGAAAATTGAAGAATTATGAATAAATGATTAATAAAGAAAGAAACAAAAGAAATGAAAACAAACTTAAAATGGGAATACTTGCTTTGCATGCTCAACTTAATGTTCTCAAGCAAGAGGTCTGTGGGGGACGAATTCTTGGATGTACAAAGTTTTGCTTTTAGTTTAGCTTTCTTCACAATGCTCTCAACATACAGTATCAATTCAGTTTGTGACATTTTGTCAATATCTATATCAGTACCATTGTCCAAATGTTCATCGCTGGTAAAATCTAAATTACAAGCCGGCTTCAAGGGAGTCAGGACAGCACCATCTTTGAATTGTATAAAACTACGCAATGCCGTTGCGGCCGCTTCAATGCGTGCGATTTTTTTACTTCGCCCCTGTCCAAGGTATTTTTGACCATCGACCTGAAATTGGAAGGGAAGAAAAAATATAATTATTAGAATTTTCAGATGTCTTTAGAGGTGCCTTATTTTTTTCAAAGCATATTTCAAATTTAGAATATCTCCATGTTTCTTTAAAGGACCCTTGAATATAAAATATATTCAATGTAAAATATTTTGAATCTAATAAACATTGCCACAATAATTTTCCACACCACTACCAATTTTAATATCTCTTTCAAATCCTTTTTATCCCTAAAATTACTAACAGCATTTACAACTGATACCACCACAGAATGAATGCATTTCTCTAATAAATTTCAAAATTAATTTCACACCAAATGTCCACATAATACCAGACCAAAATTTCCCACAAAAAGGATTCAAAATAGAAGTGAAAGTGAAGCAAAGCACACGTCTTTTTGTAAAGCTCCGATTAAAAAAAAATATTTTGTGAACGATTTAAACATTTTCCTGCAATAGAAAAGTGACAAACGCATTGTTCTTATTGCATAAAAGCAATTTGTTACATTTTGCACACAATTTCAAAGTGAAAACTGTGTTTAAAATAAAAATAAAAAATCTGGAATTATAAAAGCCTAGAATTTGGAATCACAAACAAAACAAAACATAACTAAATATTGAGAGTGAAAGACATAAACATTGAGAGTGGAAACCTAATATTTGAGAGAGGTGTAACAATTATTTGACGTTTATAAATGAAATTGTACTAAAAATAGTGCTCTGAAAATTGGAAAAATAACTTTAAAAAGCTTTTATATGGAATCTGGCGCCTAAAAATATGCTTTAAAAATAGTTTCAAACAACTTAATACTTTTGTTTACCGCGTGCATCTAAAAGTATGCAACAAAATTTGTAAATTAAACCTAAACTCATTTCCGGTGAAGAAAGCAAGAAATATCATCAAATCAACAGTTATTAAAAAAAGGAAAAACATATATTTTGAAAATGCCAAGCACAACTCGTCGAAGTATAAAAAACAAAAAAGTGTTATGTGGCCAGTGCAGAATAGAGGTGAAAGAAGATAAGGAAGACAGTATTGAGTGCGATAAGTGCAGTAAATTATTCCACGTGATGTGCACAAAACTTGATAAACGTCAGTATGATCATTTACTTAAAAATAATGACGAAGAATATATATGTCATTTATGTAATGAAGGTGATGCATCTGGTGGCACTGTTAAAGAAGAGCTACAAATAATTAAATCAAAACTAAACAAGCTGGACGAATTATGTGAATCGATGTGTTTCATGTCAACAAAATTTGATGAAGTGCTAAAAGGAATGGGTGAAAACAGAAAAAAAATTGAGAATATTGAAAGAGAAAATAAAAACTTAAAGCAGGAAGTAAAAACTTTGAAAGAATCCGTAAAAATTTTGAATGATAAGCGCGTACAAAATGATTGCATCATTAGCGGCATTAATTACAATAGCGAAATAAATGCTGCTCAAGTTGTAGTTGATTTATCTAAATCTTTTGGTGTCGAAATACAAAAAGAATCAATTGATGATGCATATTTTTTGCGAAAAAAAGGCCAAACCAACCCAAAATCGAGCTTAATTGTGAAGTTTTCTTCAAAATCTGTGAAAGATAAACTAATGTCGGTTAAACCAAAATTGAGAGATAATGAAGAAACCAAATCGGTATATGTGAATGATTTCTTGAGCAGAGAAACAATGGAACTTTTAAATTATGCAAAATCGCTTAAGTGCATTGGATATAGCCGAGTGTATTCACATGCTGGAAAAGTGTTTGTAAAGAAGACCGAAATAACCAAACCTAGGTTAATAAAATCTACGGAAGATGTCGACACAATATTATTGGACGCCACCACGAATAATCAACATTCAAGAAGACAATCCCAAAAAACTGTTCCTGTATTAAATGATTCCGATATATCAGATGATGAAAACCAATTTATTTCCCCAGTAACTAGAAATTAAGATTTTTTTTTTCTTTTGTTACTGAATTTTTAATTTTTCTTTATTAATTATGAATTTTAATAATAAATATTTTTCAAACATAAAAGAATTTAATATATATCTAAAAAATATTGAAAATGATTTTTTAAATATTGTATCTGTAAACATGCGAAGCATTTCGTCGATTAATAAATTTACAGAATTTAAGAATATGATTTCCCAGTTTGAGATTCTACCAAATATTATTGCAGTACAAGAGACTTGGTTTCAAAATGATATAAAACAAATATATAACATTCCTGGATATAATGCTATACATTGCTGTAGGAATGACGCACATGGTGGTACTTCTATTTTTATCAGAAACAATTTTATATACACTATTGAATATTGTGAAAGCAAGAATTTTGTTGATGCTATCACTATTTTAGTTAACAATATTAAACTAAATGGAAAACCAATGAAAATTACCAGTTTTTATCGTTCTCAGAAATGCAATCTGAACAATTTTTATAACTTGATGGAAAACATGCTGGAAAATATAGGTAATACACCAAGTATTATTGTAGGTGATTCAAATATAGATTTTTTAAGCTCATCTGAGTCATCTGAAATTTTGGACATATTATGCCACTATAATTATGAAAATTGTCATTCTCTAGTTACCCGTCCCTCTAGTGGAAAGTCTTTAGACAATGTATTCAGCAATTTTGAAAATATAGTCATTATAGATTCTGTAGAATGTACACTAACGGATCACAATTTGATATCATGCAGAATCATAGGTAATTTACAAAAAACCAAAAACACGTATAAAAAAATTCGTAAGTGTGATTATAATATTCTGAAGGAATGTATTCATGAAAAATTTGAAGATATCCAACTGTGTGGTAATCCAAATACAGATATGGAACATATACTGAACATTTTTTCAGAATGTATTAATAACTCCACAATTGAAAGAACAGTATTGGAAAACTCTAGGCAATTGATAGCACCTTGGATAAATGAAAACCTGCTGGCCCTTATCAAATGGAAAAAGAATTTGTTATCTAAGAGGAGGAAGAACTATACAGATTTAGGCATGGAAAATAGACTAAAACATATAAGCAAGATTATAAAAAAGGCTAAAAGCATATGTATGAACAGATTCTATCATTCAAGGCTTCAGGATCTTCAGGAAAGTCCCAAGAAATGTTGGAAATTTTTAAATGAACATCTCGGTAGAGTTAAAAGTTCCCAAATAATTTTACAAAATAACAATGGCGACTTATTAAGTGAGAACGATATGTGTGAAACATTTAACAGATTTTTTATAGATGTCCCAAGGCAATTGAAGAGACAGATTCATATTTTACCCAGTGATCATTTTAATAAGTTACGAACGCTCACACACATTCAAAATTCTTTTAATTTTTGTGAAACTACGGCTGAGGAGGTTCTCGACATCATTTCCAATTTAAAAATGAATAAAAGTCCTGGAAATGACGATGTTAACACAAATATGTTAAAAGTGTGCAGAAATGACATTACGCCGAGTTTAGTAAACGTTTTTAATTCTATCGTTCATACGTCGATATTTCCCAACATTTTAAAGACTTCAAAAATTGTTCCAATACCCAAATGTCGAAATGCATGCAATACTAATAGTTTTAGGCCAATTTCTTTGTTGTCATCATTTGATAAAATTTTTGAAAAAATACTACATAGACAGTTGATGACGTACATGGAAGAATTCAATTTGTTGTACAGGTATCAATTTGGCTTCAAAAAAGGCAGTGGGACGCAGGAAACAATTGTTAATGTAGTCAACATAATATGTGATGGTTTAGATAACGGCTATGGAGGAGTTGCTGGCGTTTTCTACGACTTGTCAAAAGCTTTTGACTTAGTAGATCATGACATTTTATTACAGAAACTGTCTTATTACGGAATCGTTGGAAATAGTAATAATATTATAGAAAGCTACCTCCGGAATAGGAAACAATTTGTTCAGATAGGGACATGCTGTAGTGAGGCAGAATCTGTCAAATATGGGGTCCCGCAGGGAAGTGTTTTAGGACCATTACTTTTTACAATATATTTAAATGATATTGCAAATCTAAAATTACATGGAAAGTTAGTTATGTATGCTGACGACATGAGTCTCTTCTATCCGTATTGCCATGAAGCTATCTTAAAAGGTCAAATTGAACATGATGCTTCAATAATATATGAATTTGCTAGATTAAATGGATTAATTTTAAATTCTGATAAAACTAAAATCATTAGATTTCGTCCTCATTGTAATGGCATTGACGTTTTCAATGCTTCCATCTGTGGAAGAACGGTAACAGAGAGCAATTCCATCAAGTATTTAGGTCTATACTTTCAAAGCAATCTGACATGGAATACTCATTTGCAGTATTTAAGAACGAAAGTAGCTCCTGTAATTGGTATACTTTATAAATTCAAAAACAAATTTGATGAAAAAACGAAGGTTTTAATATATAATGCCCTTATGCATAGCCATTATAATTATTTACCAATGGTATACTGTTATAAAAAAAATACAGATTTTAAATATTTGCAGAGATCACAAAATAAGGCTCTCAGAATCGTTTACAATCTTCCAAAAATGTATTCGACGGCATTATTGTTTAAAAATGTATCTAAAACTATTTTACCACTATACGGACTTTACAAAATGCAACTATTAACATACATGTACAAATCTATAAATAACATTGGTTATCACGTCATACGGTTTTCGCAAAATCAAACACATTTTAATACGAGAAATAGTTCTAACCTTTATATTAAAAGATGCAGGTTAGAAACCACAAAACAGCGCATTGAACATACCGGTTGTTCTGAATACAATCATCTCCCTCAAAGTCTGAAAAATATTCCCAGAATCTCAAATTTTAAATCCCAGCTAAAATTATTTCTTTTAAATAATATCGAAATGCTTCTAATGTCATAAATTTTTTTTCTACGTGAATTTCTATTCACTTTTATTCTTTGTTATTTTGAAAGTATGTTTTGAAATTTTAATCAGTTGCCCCTAAAATGCCCAAGAGGCGCTGGGGCTATT